GCTTGCATCTCCTTTTTCTTTGCAGAAAAAGAGGCTGCTGTTGAGCCTGCAGTACGTACCGTTTGCTCCATAATGCTTTTTATGCAACGCAGCATCACTCGAAAGATCCCACGCGTAGACACCGCCGGCGCCGCACCACAGCACGCAGAGGGCACACACCAGCAGCACACGGCCAGCCATCATCATCGCCATCACTCCTGTCACCTGCGTGTAGCTTTAAGCACAGACTAACAACACGTCAACGCAGAGCGGAAGCAAAAGGAGAGACACGGCCGCCACACCACGCACAGCCACCGCACAGTCACAAATGGCAGCAGCCCAGCAGCGGCAGCGCACACACACCATGAGGCAGTTAAAACCAGCGAAGGGGCAAAAACACACAACGCCCCGCAGCAAGTAAGCAGAAAAAAACACAAAACGATTAGAAACAAAACACAGTTAAAAGAACGGCAATGAAGTAAAAAAAATAAAAACAAAAAACAAAAAACAAGAAGCCGAAGCGTGGGACGACCGAAGCACACACACTCTCATTGCTCCCGTAAAGCAAAACACACACACACAGGGAGAGAGAGAGGTCGCCCACTCAAAGCAATGAAAAAGTAAAAAAAAAACTGTTACGGTGCTCCGCCCATGCAGCCAGGCAAGACGGCAGCGGTGCGTGTGGCTCAAAAGAGAGTACCAACGGCCCTGCATGGGTGTGCATGCATAAACACGTGAACAAATTATGTGTGTGCTTATTAGGCTGAGGTGAGGGCGAGAGTCCATGCAAAGGGGACACACACGGAGAGAGAAGGACGAGTGTGTGTGCGGGCGGTGCACGGCTCTCTCTCCCTCACTCTCACGCGGCCACCACCGCAGCCGCAGCCGCACAAGCAACAAGAAAAAGCAGAAGAGGGGAGGTGGTGTGGGAGGCCGCGGGGCTGCCGTCACTCTCGTCAGGCGTCCTCATGGCACTTGTTTGAGCAGCGGTGACTGTTGCTGTTGTTGGTGTTTCTGTTACGTTCCCATTTGGCTGTTGTGATGCCTGTGTACCTTCTTCTGTTTTTTCCAATTCATCCGAACCATTTTTCTCCGAACCGTGGTCCTGCCCCCCAGAAGAACCACCGGCATTCGGTTGGCCACTCCCAGTCCCGCTCTGAGCTGTACTCGCCTGTGAGACAGTTTCTTCGCCTTTGCTTGCATCTCCTTTTTCTTTGCAGAAAAAGAGGCTGCTGTTGAGCCTGCAGTACGTACCGTTTGCTCCATAATGCTTTTTATGCAACGCAGCATCACTCGAAAGATCCCACGCGTAGACACCGCCGGCGCCGCACCACAGCACGCAGAGGGCACACACCAGCAGCACACGGCCAGTCATCATCATCGCCATCACTCCTGTCACCTGCGTGTAGCTTTAAGCACAGACTAACAACACGTCAACGCAGAGCGGAAGCAAAAGGAGAGACACGGCCGCCACACCACGCACAGCCACCGCACAGTCACAAATGGCAGCAGCCCAGCAGCGGCAGCGCACACACACCATGAGGCAGTTAAAACCAGCGAAGGGGCAAAAACACACAACGCCCCGCAGCAAGTAAGCAGAAAAAAACACAAAACGATTAGAAACAAAACACAGTTAAAAGAACGGCAATGAAGTAAAAAAAATAAAAACACACAAACAAAGAGCTGCACAGTATGGCTCCAGCACGCACGCACCCATCCTCAAACGTGACTCCACGCAAACATTTGTGTGCGTGCCATGCACATGAGTGTGTCTGGGATGCGTTCAACGTGATGGATGCGGGGAGCGGCAAGGAGCACACAGCAGGGCAGCGAATGCAAATAAAAACAGTAAAACACAGTCATTATTTTTTTCGTGTTTATTACTTAGGAAAACAATAGACGCGCACAAGTCCCCGCGGCTGAGTGCTGGCACGCACAGCCCACACACAATTCTCAGCCCGGAGCGGCGTACGCAAGCGCAGCCAAAGCGAGCAGCAGCGGGGCATGCAGACGGGTGTCATGGAAGCAGGCGTCATTTCCCACACTGCTCTCCAGCGCCTTCGTTGTGGGCGCAGAGGAAAATGGAGCCAGCATGCCTGCCGCCGTAGAATTTCCCTCGCAGGTGGCCGTGTCGGTGGTGCTGGTATTGTCGTCGTGCGTCACCGCGGCAGCAGACGGCGGGGTGCCGTTGGGAGTCCCCTCCGCTGCGGAGTTTTCGCCCGGACCGCTGGCGGCAGCCTGGCCGCCTGGGATGGGGATGTTGGCTCAGCGTCACCCCATGTTGTTGTGCTCCGCGTGGCATCTGATGCGGCTGCCGTTCCTGGCTCTGGCGAACCGTCGCCCGTAACGCCTTGGTTTCCTGCCGCCGGCAACTGTGACTGCTGCTGCGCCGATTGTGGTTCTGTTGTCACACCGGAGGTCGCTGGTTCACCGGGTTCCGCTGACCTCGGCAAATTTATCGGCCCTGTTGGTGCTGGTGCTGGTGGTAGTGGTGACGGAGGCGCTCCTCCCTGCTGGTTTAATTCTTCTGCTTTACCTTCATCTTCCTTCGAACGACCCGAGCCACTTCCCCCCGAACCGTGGGCCAGCCTCCCAGCAGAATCACCGCCACTCGGTTCACCACTTCCTTCCCCTCCCAGACCAGCAATTGATTGAGCACTCGCCTCCTCTCCCGACTCGGCATTTCCCCCTGTGACAGAGCCTCCCGCTGCATTTTGTGGAGACTTTTCCCCAGTTGTTTCCTGCAAAAAAACGTCGGGAAAGGCTTTACAGTATTTACCGTTTGCCCCCTAATAATATGCGTGCAACTCATCGTTAAAAAACAACGCGTAGCCACCGCTGACACCGCACCAAAGCACGCGGAGGGCACGCACCAGCAGCACACGGCCAGTCATCGTCATCGCCATCACGGCTGCAGACACACACACTGGTGCTAAGCCTAATGAGTAAAGGCAAACATGTGTATATTTAAACACACGGCTATAGACGTCTGCGCAACCAAATGTTTTTGCACACGGTCATGCATGTAAAATGAGCAATCCAAATAAACTCATACAATGAAGCAAAGAGAGAAACAGAAGGGAAACGCATGTATGTGTACATGTGCTGTTGTTGTTGTTTTTACAGTGGTTGCCCCCGCAAAAAAGCGCATAAACAAAAATAATTAGGAGCCGCCGTGTTAAATTGGAGGACCCATGAAAATAAAATAAAAAGTAAGAAAAGGGCAAGTGTCGCCGCAAAACATGATGCTCAAAGGAAAGAGACACGCCACATCTAGCAGAGCAAAAAGAAGAAAAAGGGGGGAGGGGGGACATTGACGGGTAAACACACACATAAAGAGAGAAAAAAGCATCGGCTACTCGGAGAAAAAAAGAGGAGATGAAATCCCCCTTCTCAACTATAAATTCTCTGCCGCATCAACCGTGCTTGCCGACGCGGCTGTGAGCTGCGAAAGGGACAGAAGACTATCGTCAAAGCGCAGCTGTACAACGCAATCTGCCTCCCTCTCATCAACCCCATTCTCTTCCGCATTGTCATTGGCGTCATTAGGGCAAAGAATAAGCGGTGAGAAGCCTATAAAATTTCCAATTTGCGTTGTGGCCAGGCCGCTCCTATCACTTGTGCTGTGTGTGTTGCGTGGACGGCTGAGACTCGCCCCTTGGCTTGATGTCGCCACCTCCTCCGAGCCACTCTTTAGCGTTTCGCCATTGGCAATGGCCCTCCCTGAACAAATCCATTCTCTCTGCGGGGCAGAAGAGATATTAGGGGTGGTCAGGTCAGGTGCACTCGCAATGCGTTCCGTGGAATGGGAAGAACTAACCGTTACAAAACTCCCATCCGAAAGAGAACGACTGCAAGCAGCAGTAGCAACCCACTTGCAAGTAGCACTATTGCTGCTGTTGATACTATTCTGACTACTACCGCCCCCACCACTTCTGTTGTTTGTTTGCTGCTTCTGTTGAGGTTGCGGCTGTCGTCTTTGCGCAAAAACAACAGCTGGTGCCTTGCCGTAAGTAGGCAGCGACACGCGCACAAAACGGTTGTCCCAATGCTCCGGCGTGGGTGAGCACTGAAAACTTACAGCGCTTGGTAGCTCCGTCTCGGCACTGGCCTCATGTAGACTGCAACTGTTGCCTACAATAAAAGGATGCTTCAAGGCCTCTTCACATGACAGTCGGCTCGCTTCATCCACGCAAAGCAGAGACTCCATAAAATTCTGTGCTTCCACTGAAAGATGCGTGGGATATTGCACGTTCCCCCTTGTGATTCGGGCACACAACTCCCATGCGGAGAGATGCTCAAAAGGCAGATTCCCGCACAACATGCGGTACGTCAATATGCCGAGAGCCCACACATCGGCCTTCGTTGTGCAACCCCGCCTTGAGATCTGCTCCGGTGCAAGATAATCCATCGTGCCGCAAAGCGTGTAGCGACGGGAGTGTTGGGGAACCCTGCGGTCAAGCCGAACCGCCCATGAAAAATCAGCCAGTTTCACCGCTTGGGCTTTGAACAAAATATTATCCGGCTTCACGTCGCGGTGAATGACATCCCGCTCATGCAGGAAGGCGAGTGCTGAGAGCAACGGCCGCAAAATACGCCGCGCCTCCTCCTCCGACACGCGGTGCTGCGTTCGGGTGTCCAGCAGTGTCTGCAGGTTCCCTCCATCCGCGTACTCCAGCACCAAAAACACTCGCACATCGTCCCAAAAGTATGCAAAGAGGCGCAAAATGTGACGATGACAACGTCCCGCGTATTCCTGCAGCTCCACCTCCCGTCTTAACTGGTGGGCGAGCCCGTGGTAGCGGATCATGTCCTTCGACAGACACTTTATTGCGACGGCGCACTTCGTTCGCTTTTCCCGCGCGAGATAAATCTTGCCAAAGCGTCCCTCACCCAACTTCCTCCCAATATCAAAGTCATCCAGCGACCACATTTGCCTCCGCACAGCCTCCCCTCGGCCCTGCGCAAAGCGGGGCTGCAAGACAAAAGAGCATCCTTCGCTGCCGCACCAGCAACAGTCCGATTCGTGGGGCGCAGAGACGTACAGTCACCGTCGCCAGTCCTCCGGCTGCCGCCCCATTCGTACAGCCAGGAGCCATCACGAAGATTAAAAGACATCTGGCGTTGTGCTACCGTGACACAAAACAAAATGGCCAAAGAGAAACGTTCCAAACAATATATATATATCACCGCCCTAACCCCAAACTTCTCTGCGCCGCCCTTCCGCCTTCTGTAAAGGGAAACAAACAAGCAACCCAAATGCCACAACAGAAAAGGAGCGGGGAAAAAACACCCGTAAAAAAAAGGTTGTCAAGAATTTTGTGCAGCCAACTCCTTTTCCAAACGCTTCACTTCACGCTCCATATAGGAAATACAGGCTCTTAGATGCCTCAAGGTAGGCTGCGCAATCAACTTCTCAAGAGTATATAGTTGAACCTCTTGTAGGGCAAAGGCTGCCGCCATTGCGTCAGGCGCATCCTTGCAACGCCGCCTAACCAGCTCCACTGCAGCATTGACCTCGGAACGAAATACATGAAGAAGACGGTGCGTAACTTCGCACGGTGGTAATGACTCAGCGGCAT